GCAGAGGCTTCCTCTCTCTCTCTCTCTCTCTCTCTCTCTCTCTCTCTCTCTCTCTCTCCTTGCAGCTGGAGCCCTGGCCCTTCTCAGCCTGTAGCCTCTGCAGCTCATGCTTTTCCTTTACATCACATTTCATGGTCTGCGCTCCCTGGTCAGCAGTAGGAAAAGCAGATAGAAGCACTGTCTGGGGCAAACAAACCCCCCACGGCAGGTGGCTTGGTGCTAGTCTAACAATCGAGTTTGCTAAGAAGTGATGGGATGGCTTCAGCTGCAGGGATCTTTGTCCAAGGCTGACACACTGTCAGCCAAGAGGACATTTGGCAGATGAAGGGAGAGCAACCAGGTCTCCAGGCACCCAGTTTCCCTGGCACGCCCTGCCCTCATCCTCTCCTGACCTCACTGGTAAAGTGTAGGACTCGGTCTGCATTCGTCTTTCCAGGGGCCAACGATGGAGACACTCTGAGGGGCGCAGGCAGAAAGGCTCTCTGCTCTTCCTGTGTGCTTGCCTATGGTCGAACCTACCATAGTCACTCATGTGGCCAATAGGAATACTGAACATCTATGCCTGTGTTCATTTATTGGTTTGTTTTGGGTTTGTGGCTATATAAGAGAGAAAGGGGGCTGGAGAGGTGCTGGATCCGTGGCTAAGAGCACCTGCTGCTCTCCCAGAGGACCCACATTCAGTTCTAAGCTCCCACATTGTGTTGTTCAGCTCCTCCTACAATTCCAGTTCCTGGGCATCCAAGGTCCTCCCTGGTCTGCACAGGAAACTGCACATATATGGTGCATATATACACACTCAGGCACGTACACATACAGGTAAAGCAATAAATATTTTAAAAGAAAAAAGGAAAAGGAAAGAAAGGAAAGCACAGACCGTGCAGTCCAGGGGTCTAGGCTTGGTTAGGCTGATAGAGAGCCTCTAGTGCATTCCAGCCCAGTACTGCATAAACTAGGCATGGCGGTGCACGTCTGCAATCCCAGCTCAGGAGGTGGACGAAGGAGGAGCAAAAGCACAAAGGCATTCTCAGTTACGTAGGGTGCTGGAAGCCAGACTGGAATATATGAGACCTTGATTTGAAAAGAAGAAAACGGAGGCTGGGAAGGTGGCTCAGCAGTTAGAAGCACATGCTGAGCTTGCAGAGGACCTGGGTTCAGATCTCAGCACTACTACTGGTCACCGCAGCTTCAGGAAATCGGACGGCTACACTCATGCGCTCCCCACACACAATCGGACAGCTACACTCATGCGCTCCCCACACACAATCGGACAGTTACACTCATGCGCTCCCCACACACATTCAACTTAATATAAATTTTTAAAATAGGGACTAGAGAGATGGCTCACAGGTTACGAACGCTTGCTGCTCATGAAGCGGTCCTGGGTTTCCAGCACCTACATGGTGACTCAAAACCATCTGTAGCTCTAGTACCAGAGGACCCAGCTCCCTCTCCTGACATCCATGGGCATGAGGCACACATATAGTATATACCTACACCTACTATATCTAGGCTGACCAAGGGTTCCCAAAAACAAGTACACACAGTAGGGATAAATCCTGGTCCCACTGCCAGTGGCCCCTCAGTCTGCCCCAGCCATGCAGCTGTCACCCACATTCAATTTGGTCTTACGCTGATTCCTTCCCTGTCAAGCCCGAGTTGGTGAGCTCCCATTAGCTCAGGTAAACTGTTTCAGTGGGTGTCCCCATTATGGTTTTGACCTCTTTGTTCGTTTTCCCATTCCTTCCACTCTTCAACTGGACTTTGGGAACTCAGTCCAGTGCTCTGCTGTGGATCTCTCCCTCTGCTTCCATCGCTTGCTGGTTGAAGGTTCTATGATGACATCTGAAATAGCCGTCAATCTGACTACAGGGCAAGTCCAGTTCGGGCACCCTCTCCACTACTGCTTAGGGTCTTAGCTGGGGTCATCCTTGTTGATTCCTTGGAATTTATCTAATGCCAGATTTCTTGCTAACCTCATAATGGCTCCCTCAATCAAGGTATCTCTTTCCTTGCCCTCAGTTTCTGTCCTTCCCCCATCTCAACCATCCTGTTCCCTCAAGTTTTCCTCCCCCTCCCCTCCTCCTCCCCTTTTGCCCTTCCTGATCCCCCCACCCCCAAGCTCCCAATTTTTCCAGGATATCTTGTCTATTTCCCCTTCCCAGGGGGAATCTATATGTCTTTCTTAAGATTCACCTTGTTACTTAGCTTCTCTGGGGTCATGGACTATAGGCTCATTATCCTTTGCTTTACAGCTAGAATCTACTTATGAGTGAGTTCATACCATGCTCATCTTTCTGTGTCTGAGTTACCTCACTCATAATGTTTATTTTTCAATTCCATCCATTTGCATGCAAATTTCAAGATGTCATTCTTTTTTTAACCACTGAGTAGTACTCCATTGTGTAAATGTACCACATTTTCTTTGTCCATTCTTCAATTGAGGGGTATCTAGGTTGTTTCTACGTTCTGGATCTTACAAATAATGCTACTATGAACATAACTGAACAAATGTCCTTGTAGTATGATTGAGCATCCTTTGGGTATATACCCAAGAGTGGTATCACTGGGTCTTGAGGTAGGTTGATTCCCAATTTTCTGAGAAACTGCCATACTGATTTCCAGAGTGGTTGTACAAGTTTGCATTCCCACCAGCAATGGAGGAGTGTTTCCCTTACTCCACATCCTCTCCAGCATAAGCTATCATTGGTGCTTTTGATCTTAGCCGTTCTGAGAGGTGATATCTCAGAGTCAATTTGATTTGCATTTCCCTGATGACTAAGGATGTTGAACATTTTCTGAAGTGTTTTTCAGCCATTTGAGATTCTTCTGTTGAGAATTCTCTGTTTAGATCTGTACCTATTTTTTATTTGATTACTTGGTATTTTGATGTCTACTTTCTTGAGTTCTTTATATATTTTGGAGATCAGTCCCCTGTCTGATGTAGGGTTGGTGAAGATCTTTTCCCATTCAGTAGGCTGCCTTTTTTTGTCTTATTGATCATGTCTTTTGCTTTACAGAAGCTGAGAAAGACATCATAGAAACATTACCCTTCACAGTAGCAACAAATAACATAAAATATCTTGGGGTAACATTAACCAAAGAAGTGAAAGGAAGACTTGTTGAGCAAGAACTTTAAGTCTTTAAAGAAAGAAATTGAAGAAGTTACCAGAAAATGGAAAAATCTTCTATGCTCTTGGATAGGTAGGATCAACATAGTAAAAATGGCAGCCCTACCAAAAGCGGTTTATAGACTCAGTGCAATCCCCCATCAAAATCCAACACAGTTCTTCACAGACCTTGAAAGCACAATACTCAACTTCATATGGAAAAACAAACAAAAAACTCAGGATAGCCAAAACAATCGTGTACAATAAAGGAACTTCTGGAGGCATCACCATCCCTGACATCAAACTCTATTACAGAGCTACAGTAATGAAAATAGTTGGTATTGGCATAAAAACAGAGGGGTTGACCAATGGAATCAAATAGAAGACCCGGATATTAATCCATATACCTATGTACACCTGATTTTGACAAAGAAGTTAAAATTATACAATGGAAAAAAGAAAGTCCCTTCAACAAATGGTGCTGGCATAACTGGATGTCAACCTGTAGAAGAATGCAAATAGATCCGTATCTATCCCTGTGCACAAAACTCAAGTCCCAATGTATTAAAGACCTCAATATAAATCTGACCATACTGAACCTTACAGAAGAAAAAGTGGGAAGTAGCCTTCATTGCATGGGTACAGGAATTCACTTCCTAAATACAACACCAGTAGCACAGACACTGGGAGAAAAAAATACATAAATGTGACCTCCTGAAACTAAAACATAATTTCTAAATAAAATCAAAAAGATTTTATTAAAAGAAGGAAAAGTCTAATTCAAATCCAGGGGTTTGGAACACTGGTGTCACTCAAGTCCAAGGGGCTCTGGGCTTGGACAATGTCTGAATTTCTTACAGTTCTGAGTTGCATCTTCTTCCTAAGACAGGTCTGCACCCTGCCCAGGCCCCCTGCAAAGGCTCAGCTCATCTGTAATCTGAGAAGCAGGAGAATGCAGAACCACAGACCTCAAACTGCCAGATCCAGCAAATTAGGATCTGTGCTAAACATACGCCCACCCGAGAGCACAGCTTGGGGAAAAGCTAAACCTCCACTCTGCAGACAGAAGCCCAAGTAGCTGCCCCACGGCCAGGGAAGGCTCTGGCCCATTGGAAATAGAGCAGATCAGCCAGGGAGGCAGCCGGGGAGCCAGCAAGTGGCTCCTTAAGGCTGTGCGCTTCAGGACCTAGTTGTCAACAGCCTAACAAGGCTAGGCTTCAGCCACTATCCTCCCGGGATTGGTTCCCAATCCCCACTGCTGTGCTCCAGGGCTGGATGGGAAACTACGAGATGACTCCTTCCTTTTCATCTCCTTTCTCAAGGAAAACAACTTCCAACTCCCCGTGGAGTGCATTCCTCCACTGTGAAGTCTTCCCAAACCCATCTCCCCCAATCTCTCAGAAAGGAGGGAGGGGGGCTTGGCGGCTCCTTCAGTGAGACTTCTAAAAAAGTCTCTGCCGATGGCCCCAGTCGGAGAACGTGAGGGGGCAGAAGAGAACTGAGGCCATCTACAGTTACGAGCAGTGAGGAAAATGAATAAGGATCAGCAGCGCAAGGCCCACTCCGTAGGCCCGGGAAGCCCCAGGGACAGCGGGAGACCCGGTGGTCTCCGCCCTGACTGAGTCTGCAGAGTAGTATCCCATCAGTCACAGTCCTAGATCGCTACAGTTGGAACGAGATGGCCACGGCCATCGTCTAATATCCCAAAGACAAATGCTTTTTATCATGCATGCCAAATCTAATTGATTGGTAAGGGTGAAACTCTGTGTTGGAAATGATTCTGAGCTATCTGGGTCCGGGGCGGGGGCGGGGGGCGGGGCCGGGGGGGCGGGACTGTAATTGATTGGCAGTTGTCTCCCGAGGAGTGGCGCTGTTGGCACCACGGGTTGGCCATGCCTGCTGTAGTCCAGCCCTCCCACATTACCAATTGGGGGAGACTGAGTCCCAGAGCCCAGCGTGTATAGGGGTTCCTCCCCAGTCTTCTCAGGAAGCCAGCTGGTTTGGGTAAGTGGCACCCAGTCCTGACCTCAGGACTACACGTGTCAGATCCAAGGGCAGTCTCCAAGAAGCAAGGCAACCACTGGCGTGGGTTAGCTGGGTTAGTTGCTCGTTTCCTGAAGACAGATGGTAGATGCGTTTATCACCTTGGACTGGCCAGTTAGCGCAACTGAGGCAGGTGACATGGCAGACCTTCATAGTCACCCTGAGACTAGTGGTCAGTTTGCTCAGAACAGGACCTGTGGGTGAGATTAGCTAAATATTTGGGCACAGGACAATCAGATCCCCCAAATAGTCAGTGGAGTTGCCCACATAGGATGAATTACTGTCCAGCATATGTGGGCTGAGCTGACCCAGCGGCTCTACCCACAACCTCACCTCTTTTGTGCCGTCTCCTCAAGCCCCGCCAACCCACTTCATTTCCTTCTCTTCCAAGCCTGACCTCGCTTCTCTTGGCAGAGAGGCCTTCTGTGGTGTACTAGGCTCCTTAGACAAGCCTTCCTGGCCCGCCACACCTGCTGATCAGTTCCACTACCCGGAGTCGGCCACAGCGCAAACACTAACCAGGCTACTTTCCATTTTTGAAACTGGGGACCCTGGGACCTGAGAAAGGAAAGAATTCACCTGATGTCACACAGCGGGGACAGATCCAGGGTGCCTGGCCCTTACTCTGGGGGTTGCCCTGAGTAAATACATCCTATAGAGTTTATCCCAGCTTCATTTACTCCTCAGAACAGCGCAGATAACTTCTGAGGATGCCCAGGGCAGGTCCTGAGAAAAGGTCTGGGTGGCCAGGAACACATGAAGGGAACCTGTTAAAGGTGTAAGGTGGGGTGCTTGAAGGTAGCCAGGCTATAGGAAAGGACCCATGTGGTGGAAAATATAGCAGGGCTGCTCAGAGGTCCAGTCACCACCTCCTGGGAGCACCTCTCATCTCCAGACACTTGTCCCAACGAGCCCTAGGGAATAAGCTACCTCCTTAGGTCCTCATCGTGAGCGGAACAATCCTCTCTATGGGGTGCTAGAAGAGAAGCTAACTCTTGCCTAAGAAATACGCTGATATGCAAAAAGACATTGGTGGGGGGCCAAGAGCTAAGGCTGTAGAGACAGCCCCAGGCTGAGCTCTGTCTGGGACAAGAGCTCGGGGTGTAGAGAGACAGTCCTGGCTTGACACTTAGAACCTCAAAGATTGACCAAGTTTCCAGATCTCTTTGGGCCGCAGTTTCTTCATGTGCCAAGCCAGAACTGAAAGATTACTGCCCCTCAGAAAGCTGTGGTGAGGGCTGACGAGCCCAGGGCCTGGGAAGCAGCCCAGTTAGTAGCTAGCATAAGTGAAGCCCTGGGTTCAGTCAGTAGCACATACACTAGGCATGGTGGTGCATTCCTGCAATCCTGGGGCGTTGGAGGTAAGAGGATTAGAAGTTTAAAGCTATCATCCGGGAGTTCAAGGCTAGCCTGAGTACAAGCTACCCTGTGTCACAAAAGGGAAAGGGGGATTAAGGAGATTACTGGTGGGAAAGGCTTGGTGCATGGCACCCACTAGCAGGCAATCAAACATAGATTCTTTCCTTTTAATGTAATGCTTCAGGGCCTTACCTCCCATACCTCTTCCAGGAAGCCTCCTCTGAATACTTTAGCCTATCCATGCACCCTGCTCTGGGAGGACTTCCAAGAACATCTGCCTGTGCTCCGCACTGGGAGCCTCCAGTCCCAGGGTCCCCACACTTCTTCCTACCAGTGTGCTCCTCAACCTTTGAGGGAAGGACTCAGGGAGTACTGAACAAAGTGGCCAAAAGGATCCTGCCGCTCATCCCTCTCCACCCATTTTACCCACCCCCTTCGGGTTTTCCAACCCCTTGTCTACTTTGTTCCTCATGCTTCTGTCTCCACGTCTCTGGGGCTCTGTTTGCAGGGGGGCGGGGGTTGAGTCTTCATGCACACACACAGCCCAGAAAGCATCCAGTTGCTCCCGGGCCGCCTGCCAGCAATTGAGTGACCTGCAGCTTCCTCCCCAAATCACATTCCACTGGCACGGATCTTGCCCCGCCTGACGCCAGCCTCCCAACTCGCCCCCAGAGCAAACATTTCCAGTTGGCAGCCTGGCCTTGTTTTTCTGAGGCCCTAATTCAGTCTCCCTTGTAGAAAACAGAAAACAAAATGCGTGGGACCAAAACTGCAACAAAATAAACTTTAAAAAGAGAGGGCTGGAGGGTGAGGGCTTCGCTCCAAGGCACATGGAAAAATAGAAGCTTCAAGGGGTGCAAAGGGTTTTAAGAAGCAAACCCACATGCTGCCCATCACCCCACCTCTCATGCTGGCTGGGAAGCTGAGACCAATTCATTCAGGCTGCCGCTAAAGACGACTCTGTTCTCATTCATAGCTGAGCGCTTAGAGGACAGGAGACAAAGATGATGAGGGGCTGGAGACTGGGGAGAGGGCGGCCGAGCTTCGGCATCCACGTTTGTTCCAAAGGGGAAATTACAGGAAGAAAAATAAACACGGCCAGCCAGATTTGAAGGCCAGTCCGTGCAGCATCGGGGCGCTAGAGGGACAGGGTGTGTGTACGTGTGTTAGCGGGTGTGCATGCCTGTGGGCGCCACTGGGTTTGCCTTCTCAAAATAAGGGCTGCTCAGTGGAAAGATGTCATAAGCCAGGCTGGGGCGGCCAGGGGATGGGCCAGTCAGGGAGGGCCGAGGCTGGCGCCCGGGCCTGCTCATGAGGTCAGGCAAAGGCCAGGTGTCAGAGCAAGGGAGTGTCGCCAAGGCCTGTTAGCCAAGGGCCAGGGCGTGTGGGGACAGGATTCTGAAGGTCAGTGTCAATGGGGGTCCTTCTTCAGGGAAGAGATGGCCTCTCAGCTTCACTAATGGACACAGTCTGGGGACATGTTGCTTATCTCGGTCCTCAGGCAATGGCTCTGGAGGTGTAGGGTAAGTGAGGGTGCAGGAGGAGGGGAAGGGAGGAGGTAGAAGAGGAGAGGGGACAGAGAGGTGGTCAGCAATTCACAGAGTGAGGACAGACAGACAGATGCCATCAACACACAGATGAGAAGAGCAACCAAAAGTATGATAGTGAGGAACCAGGGTCCTGGGAGCAGTCAAGGCACTCAGGTGGAAGTTGCCTCCCCTCCACCCAAGCCAGAAAGCTTGTCAGACTTTAGGGATGAGGGACACTCACAGGAGAAGGTGAGCTAGTCAAGACAGCTAGAAAACTAGAGTGAGAGTTGGGAGAAAATGGGAGCCACACAGCTTCCCCTTTCTCTATGGTGCCAGCTCCCACATAGTGAAGACCTTGGGGATGGGGAACTAGCTGGGTGAATGAGACCTGGGGGGACTTGATGGGATCTGAAGTGGTTGTGGAACCGAGCAGTGACATATAGGGTTGTTGGAGCAGGAAGTCACTCATGTAGAACAAGGGAGAAAAGCCAGTGTCTCCCAGAGGGACGCCATGACAGGAGCACCGGGGGTGTGTCACTAGAAGTGCCTCCCTACCATTCCTTCGGCCTGCTGGATTGACGGGCTCCAAAGGAGCTGAACTTCGGATGGCCAGCCTGGAAGTTTTTTCCTCCTCTAGAAGAGGCTGAGAAATCCTTAGCCCTTGGCCCTTCTCCAGTTGGTCCCCAGACCTAGGACCCCAAGGACTTCCATTTGCGCTCACAGTCTTCAAGCAAAGTAGTTCACAAACTTGTCCAAAGGACATTCTTACCAAAATAGCATTCTACCCAAAGTCATTCTTATGCCAAAGAAATGAGTCTCTGCTGGCCTGGAGAAGCCAGGGGGTAGGGATGGAGGTTGGAAGAACCCTAGAAAATTGGTCAACTAGTTTTCAAGTTCACTGTATTGTTGGGAACCCCCAAGGACTATTTTTGTAAAATAGTCTATTCTATTTAGTCAGGTCTCAGAAGGACAAGGTGTCTCTCCTAAAAGTCTTTCAAAAATCTATTTTTAAAGATGTGTTGTATATGTGTGTGCATGTGTAACATGAGGGGGCAGGCTTGTTGGGGTTACTGTCCCTCCCAGTACCCCAACAGCCAGCAAGCAACAAAGAAAATAACACAGAGTCTACATCAGGTTATAAACTGATTGGTCCATTAGGTCAGGCTTCTTGTTAACTCTTATAACATATATTACCCCATTATCCTTATCTATGTTAGCCACATGGGCTCGGTACCTTTCTCGGTGTGACAGCTTACATGTTGCCTCTTCGGTGGTCTGTACAGGAATGCCGGAGGGAGTTTCCTCCTCCCTAGCCTTATCCTATTCTCATTGCCCCGCCTCTACTTCCTGTCTGGTTGACCTGCCTATACTGCCTGCCTGGCCAATCAGCGTTTTATTAAAATATGATTGACAGAATACAGATAATTCTCCCGCACCATTTCCCTCTCTTTTTTTTTTAAACAAAGGAAAATACCCATAATCCATTTGTTGGGAATGTGGGCGTAGTATTTCAGGCTACTTCCTGCTGGTTGGGGGCGCTGATAGTCTTAAGGGGACCTAAAGAAAATTTAGAGTTATAATCAAGTCATGACTGGAGTATCCTGTGAGTCTCGATCATCTCAGGCAGTAGTCTTGGATCAGTTCTGGATGTAGACCTCTGTCATCTGGGCCATCTGTTCCTATCGGAGATTTTTCAGATGGCCTCCCTTGGTCAAAGGTGATTATTCTTAACTCTGAATAAATCCAGAGTCTCTCGTTTTCTGTGGAAACAAAAGCAAAATCTCTTCTCCAAAGTAACATACCTTTTGACTTCAGTTTTGAAGCCAAGGTATTTTCAAAATTCCTATCTTGGGTTAGTTCAGTAGCATTTATAAACAAAAGTCTTTTAGCAGTTGTTGCTCCTTCCTCAGCAATCAAACAATTTAAAGAGAGCATAATAGCATACAGTATGAAGATTCTCTGTGCATTTTCCATCTTTATGTGGCTTTATTTTAACCTCTATTTCTTTTATTATTACTTTTACTTTTTGAGACAGGTTCTCTGTATATCTTTGTCCTGGAATAACACTGTGAC